CTAATGTTGAAGCTTTTAATGATGGTCCTCTTGTAGAACCTTATAATGAGATGGTGGTCCTCCTGTTGAAGCTTGTACGGTGGTTGTCCTGTTGAAGCTTATAATGGTGGTGGCTCCTGTTAGTTTTCTTTATATTGGGGGGTTGTCCTCCTGTTGAAGCTTATTGGTGGTAGGTCTCCTGTTGAAGCCTATACTGGTGGTAGCCTCCCTATTGAAGCTTATAATGGTGGTGGTCTCTCCTGTTGAAGCTTATATTGTGGCAGGCCTCCTATTGAAGCTTATAATGGTGGTGGTCCTCCTGTTGAAGCTTTATAATGGTGGCGGTCCTCCTGTTGTCAGTTATATTGGTGGTAGTCTCCTGTTGAAAGCTTTATAATGGTGGTGGTCCTCCTGTTGTTGGAAGGCTTTATAATGGTGGTGTCCTAAAAGAGCTTGCACATGGTCCTCGAAAGTTATTATGATGGTCCTGTTGTTGAAGCTATAATGGTGGTGGTCCTCCTAATGTTGAAGCTTTTTAATGATGGTCTCTTGTAGAACCTTATAATGATAGTATCTCCCTGTTGAAGCTTGTAACGGTGGTTGTCCTCCTGTTGAAGCTTTATACGGTGGTGGGTCCTGTTGAAGCTATATTGGGGGTTAGTCTCTGTTAGCTTTATATTGGTGGTGGTCCTCCTGTTGAAGCCTATATTGGTGGTGGCCTCCTATTGAAGCTTATAATGGTGGTGGTCCTCCTGTTGAAGCTATATTGGTGGTGGCCTCCTATTGAAGCTTATAATGGTGGTGGTCCTCCTGTTGAAGCTATAATGGTGGCGGTCTCCCAAGGAAGCTTATAATGGTAGGTCTCCTGTTGAAGCTTATAATGGTGGTGGTCCTGTTGAAGTTATATTGGTGGTGGCCCTCCTATTGAAGCTTATAATGGTGGTGGTCCTCCGTTGGCTTTATAATGGTGGCGGTCCTCCTGTTGAAGCTTTTATAATGGTGGTGGCCTCTGCTGAAGCTTATAATGGTAAGTCCTCCTGTTGAAGCTATAATGGTGGTGGCCTCCTTGAAGCTTATAATGGTGGTGGGTCCTCTTTGTTGAAGCTGTATTTGTGTCCTGTTGAAGCTATAATGGTGGTATCCTCCTGTTGGAAGCTTGTAATGGTGGTTGTCCTCCTGTTGAAGCTTATAATGGTGGTGGTCCTCCTGTTGTGCTTTATAATGGTGGGTCCTGTTGAAGCTTATAATGGTGGTGGTCCTCCTGTTGAAGCTTTTATAATGGTGGTAGGTCCTCCTGTTGAAGCTATATTGGTGTATCCTCCTGTTGAAGCTTATATTGGTGGTGGTCCTCCTGTTGAAGCTTATAATTGTGTGTCCTCCTGTTGAAGCTATAATGGTGGTCCTCCTGTTGAAGTTTATATTGGTGGTGGTCCTGTTGAAGCTTATAAGGTGGTGGTTCTCCTGTTGGGAAGCTATAATGGTGGTATCCTCCCAAGTTGAAGCTATAATGGTTGTCCTCCTGTTGAAGCTTATAATGGTGGTGGCCTCCTGTTGAAGCTTATAATGGTGGTTGGGTCCTGTTGAAGCTTATAATGGTGGTGGTCCTCCTGTTGAAGCTTATAATGGTGGTGGTCCTCCATGAAGCCAGCACGGTGTCCTCCTGTTGAAGCTTTTATAATGGTGGTGGCCTCCTCTTGAAGCTTATAATGGTGGTGGTCCTTGTTGAAGCTTATAATGGTGTCCTGTTGAAGCTTATAATGGTGTGGTGGTCCTCCTGTTGGAAGCTGTACTGGTGGTTGTCCTCCGTTGAAGCTTATAATGGTGGTGGTCCTCCTGTTGAAGCTTAATGATGGTGGTCCTCCTGTTGAAGCTTATAATGGTGGTGGTATCCTCCTGTTGAAGCTTATAATGGTAGGTCCTCCCACAGCTTTATAATGGTGTGGTGGTCCCTCTGTTGAAGCTTTCTTATAATAGTGGTGGTCCTCCTGTTGAAAGCTATAATGGTGGTGGTCCTCTGTTGAAGCTTATAATGGTGGTGGTCCTCCTGTTGAAGATTATAATGGTGGTTGTCCTCCTGTTGAAGCTTATAATGGTGGTGGTCCTCCTGTTGAAGCTTATAATGGTGGTGGTCCTCCTGTTGAAGCTTATATTGGTGGTGGTCCTCCTGTTGAAGCTTATTTTGCTGTCCGTCAAGTTTTGTATCCATTTTTCTTTTCCGGTTATATTTCCCGGCCTCCAGGAAGCTGCCAAGTGTGACTTTTGTTGTTGTCATTATAAGATTTTACTTTCAGTCTCCACAAGCTTGTTAGATCGACTTTAGTTTTATGAATAATTTACTATATTTAATTAGATTTTTTGTTTGTTTTTTTCACTCACAAAGCTGCCTTGAGTTTGTTGTGAATCATATAACACGCTTCTAAGATGTTAACAGATATAGTTTAGCGTCCGTAAACCTCTTAGATTTTTGTTTATTCGTATTGATGAGATTTTAATAAATTCATCTGTTTATACCGGATCACCACGAAAATCTTGCACGAGTTGAGAAAAATTAAGAATGTTGATGGCAGGTGGTGAGGGGTAGGGGAAAGTACATTAGACTACCCCAGCCAGCGTGGTGAATCAGTAATACATGTGTGTCATTGTGGGCGAGAAGGTGGCAATCTCACTCTCTGAGGGACAGCCTGTCTCCCTACTACTGTGCAGGTCGTGATGGACTGTGATAGACTGTGGTGGGCTGTGATGGACTGTGGTGGGCTGTGATGGACTGTGGTGGGCTGTGATAGACTGTGGTGGGCTGTGATGGACTGTGGTGGGCTCTGATAGACTGTGGTGGGCTGTGGTGTGCTGTGATGGACTGTGGTGTGTTGTGATAGACTGGGGTGGGCTGTGGTGTGCTGTGGTAGGCTGTGGTATACTGTGGTGGGCTGTGGTGTGCTGTGATGGGCTATAATGGCTGGCTGTGATGGACTGTGGTGGTCTGTGATGGGGTGTAATGGGCTGTGGTGGGCTGTGATAGACTGTGGATGGACTGTGGTAAGCTGTGGTGGGCTGTGATAGACTGTGGTGGGCTGTGGTGGGCTGTAATGGACTGTGATGGACTGTGGTGGGCTGTGGTGGGCTGTGGGTTGTGGGGATGTGATGGATGTGAGACTGTGATGGACTGCGGTGGACTGTGGTGGGTTGTGGGTGACTATGATGGACTGTGATGGACAGTGATGGACAGTGATAGACTGTGGTGGACTGTGGTGGGCTGTGATGGACAGTGATGGACAGTGATAGACTGTGGTGGACTGTGGTGGGCTGTGATGGACAGTGATGGACAGTGATGGACAGTGTGGACTGTGGTGGGCTGTGGTGGACTGTGATGGGCTGTGGTGGACTGTGGGCTGTGGTGGGCTGTGGTGGACTGTGGTGGACTGTGATGGACTGTGATGGGCTGTGGCTGTGGTGGGCTGTGGTGGGCTGTGCTGGACTGTGATGGACTGTGGTGCTGTGGTGGGCTGTGATAGACTGTGGTGGGCTGTGGTGGGCTGCAATGGACTGTGATGGACTGTGGTGGGCTGTGTGGGTTGTGGGGGACTGTGATGGATAGTGATAGACTGGATGGACTGGTGGACTGTGGTGGGTTGTGGGTGACTATGATGGACTGTGATGGACAGTGATGGACAGTGATAGACCTGGTGGACTGTGGTGGGCTGTGATGGACAGTGATGGACAGTGATAGACTGTGGTGGACTGTGGTGGACTGTGGACTTTGGTGGGCTGTGGTGGACTGTGATGGGCTGTGGTGGACTGTGGTGGGCTGTGTGGTGGGCTGTGGTGGGCTGTGGTGGGCTGGTGGACTGTGATGGGCTGTGGTGGACTGGAAAAATTACTCGGAGTGTCAAACCTGGGAGGGAGAGAGAAGGGCATTTATCAGTGGAGAAAATGTTGTGAAGTCGAAAGAAATACTCGTGCCAGCATCCTAAAGTTATGTCTTATGAGATGTAAATAAACAATATGGACACACACACACACACACACACACACAGAAGACATATTGTACAAGTACTATTGATTTACAACGGTACTCTGCTGTGATAATCGATGGCAATGGAACCACAGTATTATCGTTTCAAGAGCCGCGAACACCAGCAGTAGAAAAAAATCACAATGCAATCCCATACAAGATAAGAAACACAAGAGAGACTCCCACAAGAGATAGCCAGATAATGAACCCTCTGAGGTGTGTTGTCTACGGGCACCGAGAGCGACTGTGTCTAAAGGTAAATTATTTAAATCAGTCGCCGGGAGGCTCAAACACCTCATGGAAGACTACGACCAGTGCGAGAATATTCAGTCGTGTGTGGCCGGGTGGACTGTGTGAAGTGTTAACTCTGGTCCTGGACACCGAGATGGTTGGCCGTGTGTTGTACCTTGTTGTGTCAGGGGGTCGTTGTGTGCTGATGCTGAAAACTTTGCAGGAAGATCACTACTCAGTGTTAGTGCCTTGGGAACTGGCCCAGTGCCAGTGCCAAGCCAACCTCTTCTTCGGAGGGGTGAGGGGGGCTCCAGTGGGTGTGGCAGGATAGGGCCGTCCTCCAAGCAACCTTGACAGAGGAGAGATGAGGGCGTGTTTGTGGAGACGTTTGTAAAAGTATTGCTTAGTAATTACTTAAGTCTTTAAAAATGGTGCAATCAGACGAGGCAGCTGAGGAACATGTGAACAGTATAAGCAAGTGTAGCCGCAGACACGTGACCCTGGACATTTGGTCAGAAACTTGACTCTATATCAGGGATGTCCAAGAATTAACATTTGGCTAAGTTAAACCACTCTTAAAAAAGATTCCTTCATACAAAACAACCATTCATTAGTCCGGTCATGAAGGTGGGTACTGAGCTGAGTAAAACCACTACAAACTTCATGTTGTGTGTGTATGTGTGAGTGTCTTATGCAAGTGTATATGTAACAGTTTAAGTTTTCTTGGTCTGTGTTTATGTTAATATGAGATATTGTGTAAAGTTAGAACCCCGACACAGTCCTACTGATGACCCAGAATTGCCTGCTGTTGTAGCAATATATTGTGTTGCTGCTGTAGGTCGAGGTGTTTGCTATTGTAGGTCGAGGTGTTGCTGGTAGGTCGAGGTGCTGCTGTTGGTAGGTCGAGGTGTTGCTGCTGTAGGTCGAGGTGTTGCTGCTGTAGGTCGAGGTGTTGCTGCGGGAGGTGTGCTCTGGTCAAGTGTTGCTGCTGGTAGGTCGAGTGTGCTGCTGCTGGTAGGTCGAGGTGTTGCTGGTAGGTCGAGGTGTTGCTGCTGTAGGTCGAGGTGTTGCTACTGTAGAAGAGGTGTTGCTGCTGGTAGGTCGAGGTGTTGCTGCTGTAGGTCGAAGTGTTGCTGCTGGTAGGTCGAAGTGTTGCTGCGGTGTCGAGGTGTTGCTGCTGTAGGTCAAGGTGTTGCTGCTGGTAGGTCGAGGTGTTGCTGGTAGGCCGAGGTGTTGCTGCTGGTAGGTCGAGGTGTTGCTGCTGTAGGTTGAGGTGTTGCTGCTGTAGGAAGAGGTGTTGCTGCTGTGGTAAAGAGGTGTTGCTGCTGTAGGTCGAGTGTGTTGCTGCTGGTAGGTGGAGGTGTTGCTGCCGTAGGTCGAGATGTTGCTGCTGGTTGGAGGTGTTGCTGCTGTGAGGTTGTGGTGTTGCTGCTGTAGGAAGAGGTGTTTGCTGCTGTAGGGAAGAGGTGTTGCTGCTGGTAGGTCGAGGTGTTGCTGCTGGTAGGTGGAGATGTTGCTGCTGCAGGTCGAGATGTTGCTGCTGTAGGTTGAGGTGTTGCTGCTGTAGGTTGTGGTGTTACTGCTGTAGGAAGAGGTGTTGCTGCTGGTAGGCCAAGGTGTTGCTGCCGTAGATCGAAGTGTTGGCGCTGTAGGTCGAGAGGTTTTGTAGGTCGAGGTTTTGCTGCTGTAGGTCGAGGTTGGGGAGAGGAGGTCGGTGTTGCTGCTGGTAGGCCGAGGTGTTGCTGTTGGTAGGTCGAGGTGTTGCTGCTGTAGGCCGAGGTGTTGCGAGAGGTCGAGGTGTTGCTGCTGGAGGCCGAGGTGTTGCTGGTAGGTCGAGGTGTTGCTGCTGGTAGGTCGAGGTGTTGCGACAGGAGGTCGAGGTGTTGCTGTAGGTCGAGGTGTTGCTGCTGGAGGTCGAGGTGTTGCTGTTGTAGGTCGAGGTGTTGCTGCTGGTAGGTCGAAGTGTTGCTGTTGTAGGTCGAGGTGTTGCTGTTGTAGGTCGAGGTGTTGCTGCTGGTAGATCGAGGTGTTGCTACTGAAGGCCGAGGTGTTGCTGCTGTAGGTCGATGTTGCTACTGTAGGCCGAGAGGTGTTGCTGCTGTAGGCCGAGGTGTTACTGCTTGTAGGTCGAGGTGTTACTGCTTGTAGATCGAGGTGTTGCTGCTGGTAGGCCGAGGTGTGTTGCTGCTGGTAGGCCGAGGTGTTGCTGGTAGCCGAGGTGTTGCTGCTGGTAGGCCGAGGTGTTGCTGCTGGTAGCTTGTGGTGTTGCTGCTGTAGGCCGAGGTGTTGCTGCTGTAGGTCGAGGTGTTGCTGCTGTAGGTCGAGGTGTTGCTGCGAGTAGGTCGAGGTGTTGCTGCTGGTAGGCCGAGGTGTTGCTGTTGGTAGGTCGAGGTGTTGCTGCTGGTAGGTCGAGGTGTTGCTGCTGTAGGTCGAGTGTTGCTGCTGTAGGTCGAGGTGTTGCTGGTGTAGGTCGAGTGTTGTGTTGTGGTCGGTGTTGCTGCTGTAGGTCGAGTGTTGCGACAGGAGGTCGAGGTGTTGCTGGTGTAGGTCGAGGTGTTGCTGCTGGTAGGCCGAGGTGTGTTGCTACTGTGGGTCGGTGTTGCTGTTGTAGGTCGTGGTGTTGCTGCTGGTAGACCGAGTGTTTTGCCTGTAGGCCGAGTGTTGCTATATGCCGAGGTGTTGCTGCTGTAGGCCGAGTTGTTACTGCTGGTAGATCGGGTGGTGCTACTGCAGGTCAGGTGTTGCTGTTGTAGGTCGTGGTGTTGCTGCTGGTAGGCCGAGGTGTTGCTACTGTAGGCCGATGTGTTGCTACTGTAGGCCGAGGTGTTGCTGCTATGAGGACAGTGTTGCTGCTGTAGGCCGGTGTTACTGCTGGTAGATCGAGGTGTTGCTGTTGTAGGTCGTGGTGTTGCTACTGTAGGCCGAGGTGTTGCTGCTGGTAGGCCGAGGTGTGTGTTTGCTGCAGGCGGGTGTTGCTACTGTAGGCCGAGGTGTTGCTACTGTAGGCCGAGGTGTTGCTACTGTAGGCCGAGGTGTGTTGCACTAGGCCGAGGTGTTGCTGCTGTAGGTCGAGGTGTTGTTGCTGGTAGGTCGAGGTGTTGCTGCTGTAGGTCGAGGTGCTGCTGGTAGGTCGAGGTGTTGCTGCTGTAGGTCGAGGTGTTGCTGCTGTAGGTCGAGGTGTTGCTATTGTAGGTCGTGAGGTGTTGCTGTTGTAGGTCGAGGTGTTGTTGCTGGTAGGTCGAAGTGTTGCTGTTGTAGGTCGAGGTGTTGCTGTTGTAGGTCGAGGTGTTGCTGCTGGTAGATCGAGGTGTTGCTACTGAAGGTCGAGGTGTTGCTGCTGCTGTAGGTCGAGCGGTGTTGCTACTTGTAGTCGGAGGTGTTGCTGCTGTAGGCCGAGGTGTTACTGCTTGTAGATCGAGGTGTTACTGTTGTAGATCGAGGTGTTGCTGGTAGGCCGAGGTGTTGCTGCTGGTAGGCCGGAGGTGTTGCTGCTGGTAGGCTTCGAGGTGTTGCTGCTGGTAGGCCGAGGTGTTGCTGCTGGTAGGCCGAGGTGTTGCTGCTGGTAGGCCGAGGTGTTGCTACTGTAGGCCGAGGTGTTGCTGCTGTAGGCCGAGGTGTTACTGCTGGTAGATCGAGGTGTTGCTACTGAGGCCGAGGTGTTGCTACTGAAGGCCGAGGTGTTGCTGCTGTAGGTCGAGGTGTTGCTGCTGGTAGGCCGAGGTGTTGCTGCTGTAGGCCGAGGTGTACAATGACTTAATCCCTTGAGTACGAGGACTTAACCTCCTTGACTACGAGGACTTAACCTCTTGAGTACGAGAACTTAACCCACTGGGTACGAGGACTTAACCCACTTGAGTACGAGAACTTAATGTGTTTAACGATGACTTTCGGGTATTTCATTAGGTGGAGTGACAGTGCACCCAAGGAGTAATTCATCGTACTCGAGGGGTTAAATCGAGAGGTCACAGAAACTCAGTGCAACTAATATTGTTTAAAATTTACGAATGAAAGATCAAATTTACTGTTACAAATGAGAACTGAAACTTTATACTTGACCGCTAAATAATACTAATAATAATGTATTGGACTTTACAAGTGAAAGATAATAATAGAGTGGTAGATAATAATAATAATAGTAATAGATGATAAATAGTGAACTTTAAGTCATGTTGAGAGGTCAGAGGCTGTACAGTAAATATGATATTCAAATAAGGTGCCTGAAGGGCGGTAGTTCATATTATGGCGGCCGGCGCTCACTGTGGTATCCTTAGTCAGTACACCAGACATGTTGATGGTTGTAGACGTGGAATATTTTTCTACCCGTTTGTGAAATGAACTATATGACTTGATGATAGGAATTTCGTTTCTTAGTAACTTTATTGATTTTGTTGTGAAGCGAGACAGAAATTTTGCACAGCTCAAATGGCAAATTGTTTTGTATCATAACAGCGCCAGTACGAGCACTCACAGCGCTTGGCGTTCTGAATCCTGCACCCTAAAATGATAGGTAAATGTAGACAATGGCAAGCTAACCGTCGCTCGCCTTCTGCCTGCCATGGCGATCAAGTATGGCACGAACACTAATCTCTTCCTAGGCTGGCACGGACTTTATGAAGGGGTGCCCTTGACCGTAGCCAAATCCCTCCCTCCCTCCCTCCCTCGCTGTAGCTCGCCCGTCTACATAAATCCCCTCACCGTCTTCCCGCCCATGTAATTTCTGTCTCCACCCTCTCACCCACACATTTTCTAAGGCCAGCGCCCGCCCACACCGTCTCTGTCACTACCGCCCGCCTGCCCTCACCCTTCCTCCCGCCCACCACCACCAGTCTCACCCACAACTACCCTTTCTTCCCGTCTTTCGCCATACCCACTATCTACCTAACTCGCCCACCATGACCCACCCTCCGCCCGCTCATCATCACCACCCATCCACTCACCTACGTTCACCACCAGCACCACCCCACGCTTACCCCGCCCACTCCCACCATTCTAGATCTACCTACCAACACCACCACCACCCACCCTTAATCTGCCCGCCAACACCACCACTAACCTTCCGCCCACCACTATCCATCCTCCTGCCCGCCCACCACCACTCTGCCCGCCCGCCCACCACCACCTATCCTCACCGCCCGCAACATAAGCCAAAGCTCAGTCAAGTGAAGAATTCCCAGAATATTGAAAATATATATATTTTGAGTGATGAGTCACACAGGATAGATGTATTCTGTGTATATATATATATATATATATATATATATATATATATATATATATATATATATATATATATATATATATATATATATAAAGTCAGCCATAATACATTCAGTAGAGAATATTCAACGAGGGTAAGTATGGTGCAGGTAAGCCGCCAGTACAGGTACAGTAATTTACATAATGAAGTCAGTATCAAAATGTAGCGGAAATAAACCTAAATTCACTTATATGTATTTTTGGGGCGAGATGTTATAAAAGGAATAATAAATTTTGATTACGAATTGATTATTATTGTCTCAGACAAATTAATTACCAAAACACATAAATAGAGTAAAGATATGTAAATAATAATGTGTATTCAGTAAATCGTCATGCAAGTTTACATTTGGTGTTGCTTATGTATAGACAATGCAAGTATACAGGTCAACATGTGTGTAAACAACGTAGGTATACTGTACAGTGTGCATAGACCGAGCAGGTATACACTACCTACGATGCAGGTATACATCGGCAATAAACAGTAAGGCAATAGACCAAAGATAGCCGACGAGGTTGTCACAGGTTTTAGAACAACGTACAGTACAGCATAACAATAAATTATAATTTGAAAAAATATACAAACATTACTGTATCACTTAATTTCTACATCAAAAAGTATATACAAATATGTAGCCTACCAACAACCCAGTGTATGGAAAGGATGTAAATAACATATATGCATGTATGTTCCCAATGAAAGAAAGAAAAATATGTATATGTATGTATGTATATATATATATATATATATATATATATATATATATATATATATATATATATATATATATATATATATATATATATATATATATATATATATATATAAATTTTTTTAATGTGGAAAAATATACATTTGAAATCCAAATATAACCGACTGTGTATCTGTATGTGTCAAGTATTAGCAGTAAGACCAGAGGAATGGATTTTGTCTTTAGTCCCGCTGTAGATGTTAAGATAAAGGCTTAAGAGGTCGCCGCGTCTCCGGTATTGGCATTAAGATAAATCCTCTGAGAACCTTTCCGTGTCTGTGTTGAGGCTAACATGGTACACAAGTCTCACGACCAGACACACACACACACACACACACACAGATAGTGTGGAGCCTTATGATAGTGTAGAGCCTTATAGTTTAGTGGTGTGGAGGTACATTGAGGGAGCCAGGTAAGGGGGGGGGAGGGCAGACTATACAGGACGACACCACATCCACCTGATGTGTATCTGTGTGCAGGGTGGTGCTGTTCCTCCTGCGGCAGTGGGATCACCCTTGTATGTTGGAGGGTGTGGGGAGTTAGGGAGTTGGTGGTTTATGGATGAGGGGTGTTTAATGAGTATATGGTGTAGGAGAGTGGACCCAATGAGGGAGTTAGGTCTTAGGGGTGAGGGATCATGAGGAGGGTTGGCAGTGGAGTGTGGGGTTACGGACGGAGATTATGTGAAGGGAGACTCTGGAGTGTGGTGTAGGAGGAGGAAAATTGATCTTAGGAGATAAAGGGAGCAGGTGTCTTGGGGGAGGGAGGAGGAGGGAGGAGGAAGTCGTAGTATTGGGGAGGGGGGAGTGAGAGGCAACCTAGAGGAGCAAGCAGGAGGAGGAGGAGGAGGAGGAAGCAGACAGGTTTATCACTCCTTCCCTGACTGCCAAGAGAAGAGGGGAGGAAAAGGAAGAAAGAAAATACGAGGAGGGTAAGAGTGGCGTAAGGGAATTAAGGGCATAATAAAACAGGGGATAGTGAAGATCAGAGAGGCGGGAGGAAGGAAACGGGAGACAGAGAGAGTAAGGGAAAGAATAAGGAAGAGAGTGCAAGGACAGACTCACCAGAGAAACAAGAATATCTTTTTACTGCCCAAAACTTTAATTTCCAGCACATTTTCGTTATTGTGAGTCGCGAGAAAAATGAATTATTTTGCTTATAACTATTTTTGTACCGAGGAGATACTGACTAGTGGGTGGATACATGGGACGCGTAATTTTGTAACGAGTGGGTACAGGGAGGATACAGGCAGTAATGGCTGGATAGATGAACCAAGTATATTTCTTTTGACGGAGATATTCGTGGTAATGCTATGGGGAAATTGTGTAGCATTTTCTGTTGTTCTCATGAGTGGATTTCTTGTCATGAGTTAAACTATTTTATAATTAATTCAAGTGGCTTTATATTTTCGATTATTGTTCTCATGTCGGAGGCTTGAGTACGACTGTGTGTGTGTGTGTGTGTGTGTGTGTGTGTGTGTGTGTGTGTGTGTGTGTGTGTGTGTGTGTGTGTGTGTGTGTGTGTGTGTGTGTGTGTGTGTGTGTGTGTGTGTGTGTGTGTGTGTGTGTGTGTGTGTGTGTGTGTGTGTGTGTGTGTGTGTGTGTGTGTGTGTGTGTGTGTGTGTGTGTGTGTGTGTGTGTGTGTGTGTGTGTGTGTGTGTGTGTGTGTGTGTGTGTGTGTGTGTGTGTGTGTGTGTGTGTGTGTGTGTGTGTGTGTGTGTGTGTGTGTGTGTGTGTGTGTGTGTGTGTGTGTGTGTGTGTGTGTGTGTGTGTGTGTGTGTGTGTGTGTGTGTGTGTGTGTGTGTGTGTGTGTGTGTGTGTGTGTGTGTGTGTGTGTGTGTGTGTGTGTGTGTGTGTGTTTTTTTTTCTGGATAAGGAGACTCACCTGGGCGTTTGTCTGGAAACTCCTCTACACCTGCCAAGTTAGTGCAGTCTCTCTCTCTCTCTTTCTCTCTCCTCCTCTCTTTTGTACATGCTTGTTCCCTAAGTCTACACACACACACCATCACTGTAACGTCAGCGTGTCTGTCTCTGGTTGATGCATGGTACTGGGTGTCATTGGCAGCATGGTGCAATACTTCTGGCTGACAGAATGAATACATTAAGAGCTTACATGTATAAGTACTGAAAATCCAGAGATATACTGTTGATTTATGTGTATAATATCCATCCATAATAATAAAAGGACGTGTCTGTCTGTTTGTCTGTCTGTCTGTCTGTCTGTCTGTCTGTCTGTCTGTCTGTCTGTCGTCTGTTCCAGCCAAAGCTCCAAAACAGAAGCAGTTAGAGATATGACACTTTCTACATATATACGACGGACCTCCGGGTGCTCCCAGCAGAACCTAAAATCTTTCCCGACTGAGATATCATCACGGCGATTGCTGGAGTGGTTACATGTGTCAGGGAGGGTAAACTGTTGAAGGTCAAGGTTAGGTCAGGTCAGGTTAGGTTAGGTTAGGTTAGGTTAGGTTAGGTTAGGTTGAAGTGGTTACCCGCTTCAGGAAGGGCAAACTGTGGCAGTCAGGAATATACACTGTTTACTTAACCCGAGCAAACCTGGATAATTTTGCTAGATAGTAATAATTCAGAAATATATTTGTGGTTTGCATATACGATATAGCATTAGTAATGACAGTAATTATTTAACATGCATAAAATTGTCAATAACAACAATACTATATATAACTCGTGTATCACATTACACTCCGGCCACTGTGTACTA